AGGCTCAAAGGAATGAGAGGGTAAGAAAGTGAAATTACAGGTGTTAGAGGGGAAAAAAAGAAATTAGAGGAGAATGATGAGAAGAGGGAACATCAGCAGGGAATTTGTTTCAGAGCAGGAATCCTTGGACTGGGTTTAGAGGATGGAATGTACATATATTTGGCTGCAAAGTTTCTGGAATTTTCCTAATTTAGGTGTCTGACCTGAATAGAGGGATTTTCTAAAATAGAAATAGACTTGCTAAAATGACAGATTGAGTTTAATAATAGCTAACATTTATAGAATGCTTACTCTGTGCCAGATGCTTTGCTAAGCACTTTATGTGCATTAATGCCTTTACCCAACAACCCAGTGATGGAGATATTATTTTCATCCCCATTTTACACACAAAGAAACACATAAAGAGTAAATAACATTCCCAAGGCCACACAGCTAGTACGTGATAGAACTCGAATTTGGACCCCTGCAGTCTGTGTGCAGAGTCTGTGTTTTCAATCTCTCTGTTAAACTATCTATCCAGTAGTGTTTCTGCACGTATTTCACAATTACTCTTAGTCCACTTGCTCTTATTCTGGATTAAGCATCAGGTTCCAGCTATTTGGTTTCTGCTGTGCTTAAGGAAAGGTGGACTCTACTTCAAGGAGCTCATGAATATCAAAACCTTAATCACAGCCCTTCGGATGACAACACGAGTTCATGCTTTACAAACCAACCATGGCCTTTGTCATATTAAAATCAAAGTTGCAAAATAAAGAACATTCTGAAAAACCTTGTCTGCTTCATTTAGATAACAGTGTGCAGAATGAATTGAAAGATAAAAATGCTCATCATTTACCATTTCCTTTTGCTTTTTTTTATTATAAGCCCGGTGGTGTTATGGATGATATCACCAGGCAATTTGGTTTGAATGTGTTTCATGCTGGACTGTGCAGATTACCCAACTAATGACATGCATACTCCTTGCCATTGTGACACCTCTCTTCTCACAAGTGGGAATTTCAAGTGACAGACTAAAGCTGTTTGCTATCAATTTTGCAAAAAACACATCTGCCAGATAGCCAAGATGTAGCTCAGAAACTGAAATCGATTAATATTCTAATTTGTTACCTGTCATTAGCGTCACACTATATTATGTCAAGTCAAAAGTGATAGCCTTTATATAACATATACTCCTAAAGGAATTTGATTTTAGTGTTTTGTTTTATTTCTGTTTACTGTTGCTCCCTGCATATAAATCCTATTAGAAGTTCCAATTACACAAGTAGTAAAAAGTTGTGATGGATTAAAATGAAAGTGTATAATATGTAGTTACATATTTTTAATAAAACCACATGATAGGGTTTTATAAAACTTATTTACCACACCATTTAAAAAATTTTAGGCATTTCCCTTTTTTTTTCTATTAAGCCAAGGATTTAACAACATAATATTTTTGTAGGTATTACCCAGATCCTCTGAGGTTCTATTATTTTAGGTTACTGGTCAAAATCAAACCTCCATGGTGGAGCAGATTACCAGGCTACCAGTAGATTACCTGGTCTGATTTCCAGGGTCTAAGAAAGGGACAGTGGCTTGGCTTGGGAAGGAATGAAGTAAGTTTAGCTGAGGAGAAAGGAAGGAGGGAAAATTTTATAGATGATTTTTTTTTAGCTGCTTTCTTGCTCTGAACAGGGAGGAAAATAAAAAGAAAAGCTTTAAGTGGGAAAGGCTAGAAGATGGAATTGTCACTGTAAAGATGGAAACAACTTGTGTTTTCAATCTGAGTGACAAACACTGAAAGTATGCTCTCCTTTGTGTTAGAAATTAAAAATTTTTAATATGCTTTAATTTTTCAGCATCTTAAGGCCTCAGAGTTTAAGAGGGGGTGGTTTGGGATATAAGTTATATTGACATTCATTCATTTATTCATTCAACAAATGGATGTTGAGTGTCTCATATATGCCAGGCACCGCTGGAGATAAAACTATACAAAGAACAGACCCAACTTCTTGACCTCAGGGAATTTACATTATTTTGAAGGGAGACAGAGCCGTTTAAAAACAAAAATAAATATACAGTATGGCAGATGGTGCCAACTAATCTGGTGAGAAATAAAGCGACAATGAGGACAGGAAATGCTGGCTAAGAGGGCGGAATGAGGAATTATAATTTTGAGCAGCATGGCTGGGGAAGTCCTAACTAAGATGACATTCTGCAAAGGCCTAACTCCTGAGAGAATAGGTGAGGTGGGGACGTGCAGAGCTATCAACCCTACAGCTGTCGGTTGGTGTCTCATCCCTCATATTGTTACTCTTCCTGAGGCCAAGGTATTGAAGACAAGCAGAATTTGCATTTGATTTGGTGTTATTCATTGATTTCTCTGCTCCACTATAACACATTTTTCTTAAAGCAAACATTTCAATAAACTATTTGAGAGAGAGTCTGCCGCCATGATATATGTATTTGGCTTCTTCCTTACAGTTATCAACTCAAAATTTTATTTTAACTACCCAGATCAAAAGTTCATGATCTCTCTTTCCTTTCCCAGGACTCTATTCATTGGACCATCTCCACTAGGTGATGGATTTTCCTGCTGAGATAGGTAATTACTAATAACAATGCTAAGAGTGTCTCTCAGGGGAACTTGAATTTGTTCAAAGTGGTGTGGGTAAAATAGCAATATTTAGTCCATCTCCATATCAATAGGTGTTTACAAGGGGGGAGAGGTGAGCGCACGCAGGTTCAGAGAGAAATGGGGGAGCAGGAGCGGCGGCCAGAGAAACGGGGTGAGCAGGAATAGCTGCGGGGGAGGGACAAATGGAGCCAAGTTTCTCATAAGCAATAAACGGGTTTCTCTCAACTTTAGTTTTTTCCTCGACTGATTTTGTGTTCACGGGTTTATTCACTGTGAACTGGGAACACGCTCCCCCCGCCCCTGGAGCTACAAAAGTACACAGTCAAGAAGACAAGAAAATAAGTGTTGGCAAGGATGTAGAGAAAAGGGGGCACTTGGGTGCTGTTGGTGGGATTGGAAACTGGTGCCCCCGTTATGGAAAACAGTATGGAGATGGCTCAAAAAATTAAAAATAGAAATACCAAATGATCTAGAAATTCTACTTCTGGGTATTTACCCAAAGAAGATGAAGACACTAATTTGGAAAGGCATATGCACCCCAACATTTACTGCAGCATTATTTAGAACAAGAAAGATATGAAACAACCTAAGTGTCTGTTGACAGACGAACAGATAAAGAAGATGTGGTACATATATGCTTGGAATATTACTCAGTCATTAGAAAGAATGAAATCTTGCCATTTACAACAAATGGATGGACATAAAGGATGTTATGCTAAGTGAAATAAGCCAGAGAAAGACAAATATCATATGATTTCACTTGGATATGTAATCTAAAACACAAAGCAAATGAACAAACAAAATAGAAATAGACTCATAAACACAGAGAACAGACTGGTGGGGAAGGGAAATGGGGGATGGGCAAAACAGGTCAAGTGGGTAGACACACCCAAATTTTCAGTTACATGGGAATGAAGGTACAGCACAGGGAATATAGTCAACAATATTGTGATATCTTTGTTGATAGATGCGAAAACTATACTTACAGCAAGCATTTAGTAATGTACATAATTGTTGAATCACTATGCCGTGTACCTGAAAGTGACATAATATTATATATCCACTATAGTTCAATAAAAAAAAACCCTCTCAAAAAAAAGTGGACAGACAGATCAACAAGTTGTTAATTGCTGAAGGATAAGAAATTGTTTGCCTTATTTTTTCATTTAGTTTCTCCATGTCCTTATAGAATAATTATTTCACAAATTTTACAAATCTCTTCTTTGGATCGTTGCAAAAATCTGCTTTATCTTTTGCCCCTTCCCCTCTATAGCTCATTTTGAACTCTGTAGCAAGAGTGGTCTAAAAAAACCAAACCAAAACAAAACAAAAACTAAGCCAGATCCTGGGACACCTTTGCTCAAAACTCTCTGAGGAAATCTGAGTTCTCTCAGGAAAATCGAGGTTCCTTGGGACGATCCACAGGACCTCACTTGACATGGCCTCTGTGACACCTGAACTCATCTCTGGCCGCTGGCTACCTCGTTCACTCTGCATCAGGCATTTTGGGATCTTGGCTGTTGCAGGCAGATTTTGCCAAAGAGCCTTTGCCAGCATTTCCCAGGTTTTATAACTTTCTCCCCCTCTCCCTTCAGGTTTCCTTACAAAGTAAACCAGCCCTGATCATCGTAAAAAATAACCTTTTATTCTCTACACCCTTCCACATCCACTCACTCTCCTTTAGTTTTCCTTATAACATTCATTACCACAAGATACACTATATATATATATATATCTGTGTGTGGATTGATTTATTACAGTATAAGCTTTGTGAGGACTCCAAGCCCATTTTCCTAGCATTTGGAAAAGGGTCTAGTACTTAAAGGTCAAATCCGAAGGAAAACAAACAACCTGTAGTTTAAAATTTAAATGCCAATCATTGGACTCAATACTACATTCATACATATGAAGAGGTACAAGTTGTTTTTCCTCCTGGTGAGGACAAAGAAACTTAAGAACTGTGCAGAATATTTTTGAAATACTAACAAATGAATGAGAATAAAATCTGCCATATTGGGAAAGTATATTTTAAGCACTGCCTAAGAATAATCTTTACAATGGAATAATTTCATAAATACAAATCCAAAAAAACATAGCACAACTGATAGAAATATTCTAGAGTAAAACAGACATTGAAGAAGATAAAACCTATATTAAAATAAGATACAGGTTTTTTTTAAACACTGGGTTTTCATTTGCAAGTATATTTAATGACTTAATAATAAGAATATTCCATTTCCAAAATGATTCCAATTTCTTATGTTAATGATAAAAAATCGAATGTAAGTATACAGTTTGTTAAGAGGAGTTTTGCTTTTTTTTTTCTGATGGGTAAGGTTATTTTCAACCTTTTACTTTTTCTCTACCAACAATATGTAATACTCACATGGAATTTTATGCAACTCATTCATAAACTTCTCCTTCAGCTTAGAAAATGCATCTTCCTTTCCTTCCCCAGGACGGGCGGGCTCTGTGGCATTACTTGGCAGAACTGTCGCAACAGTGGTGGCTGGCGGGGCTGCCAGGGCCTCGTGGTGACTCTCGCTCACCATTTTAGGTTCAGGTGCAACTGCGGGGAGGGAAGCAAAAGAGAAAAGAACAATTCAAAATGGCTTAACTGATCCCACATCAAAGGTGCAGCCGAGATGAAAAGACCTCAGAAGCAGCACATACTCCCAGGCAAACAGCCTATCATTAGCATATTGCTTTACATTGATTCATGAAATATTTATGGCAACACAGTGGAGAGTCTTCCCCAGAAGGTAAGCCCAGACGTAGTTACTGAAAACAGTATCTCCCAACAATTCTATGTTAACTGTCAGATCTCTTGGCTGTTTATACAGCCAATTATTTGTTGTGAGATTAAACTTCTAACCCACATACTACTAAAAATGCATATGAAACAACTGCTGAGAACATACATGCTCTGTACTCTAAGTATTCATATTTTCTAAAAGGTAAAAAGACCAAATATTTATATTAGAAACGCTGATAAATGATAGCATACATTCAAATTATTGGTGACTTTTAAAATGGTTATAAACAGTACTAAACATTGACACCCTAAGATGTCATGAAAGCATAGAGAAATTGGTTCCTGAGTCTCACTAATTGATGGTACAGTTTCCACCCAGTCAGTTTTTGACATTTACTGTAGACAATACTCTGATCAATAATTCACTTGTCTTGCTGGGTGAGTTCCTGAAGCCACTGAACGTGGTGGCATGACTGACTGTCTATCTCAGGGTGCTGAGAAAGAAACATGACTTGTCTGTTCAGTTATTTCAGTTTATTTAGTTTGATTATATTGAATTATTTTTTTAACTTACTAAATTACTTTAACTGTTCATCTCCAAAATATTAAAAAACAATTAATCCTTAAAAAAATCTTAGTCTTGAATAGAGAAAACATCATGAGTTCTAGCTCCCTTTATGAACTAAATGAATTTTGACAGGTCATTTTATTTGCCTTCTTAATTTATCTGCCTTCTGAAATGTGAAAGACTGAAGTCTGTCCTGCTTGGATTTTTCTTAGTACATGTGAACTGCTCTCTAAAATGTAAGGAAGGTGTTCTAAATGGATAGAACTGAGGTCAGATTCTCCAATTTAAACATATTCTGGATTTTAACAATTTTACTGTGTGACTTAAGATTTCAGGTTGTGTTGGTGAGAGAGGGGACATGATTTGGGGCAGAAATAGGTAAGTACATACAGTCCTGGGCATAAGGAGCTTCACAGTCTCAGCAGGAAAATTGATGGGCCCAGAAAGCCCTTTTGATTTACAAAGAAATGGAGAACAGCAAAGAGATAAAGGAATTTTATATAATTAAAATCTTTTGTGAGTTAATCACCTTACATATGTATTTAGTGGAAGTGTAATTGAGAGAATAATTTCAGATGTATGGGGTTATTAATAAAGCCATCAAAATTCAGAGGTTTTTCGATTTCCTGGAAGGAGAGGACGGTTGAGGCTAATACATGCACGCAGATAATCAATTGTTATTGTATAACAGGTTCTCTTCTTAAAACTTCTTATTTTCCATTAATAGCTACTAATATAATCCTAGAGATAGAACCAGACAAATATGGTTTCACATCTTCTCTACTCTTCAGCTTCTTCATTTGTAAAATGAGAACTATCATTCCAAACGCATAAGGTTTTTGAGTATGAAATCAGGTAACCTATGCAAAGAACTTAGTACGGTGTCTGGCATGTAAATTCCATCTCTCGCTTGATTGACAGATCTATCAATCGCTTGATCCATCATGCTTCCCTTATTACATTTGGTAGCCCAGATTTTCCACACTGTGAAAAACATTTAAACTTTTTTACAACTCCAGGTTACTTTATAGAAGGTTTTCCTGAATCTCCGATTCTGTTCTGCTTGTATTCCTGAAAAAACTGGGAGTACATTGCTGCCCAACGTAGGTGAAATTATTGATACTGATGATACCACAGTTTTCATCTTTCTTATGAATCAGCAAGACTAAAATCATATACACACATACACACACACACACACACATACATATGAGATATTTGTATGTATGTATTCGAAAAATGAATTTGTTCCTCTGCTATGAAAATCACCACATATGATATGCATGATTACTTAGCTCCACAGGATAGTTGAAGACCTTTGAGGAATTATGGGCTTACTGTGGAATTTTAAGGAAATGATTGTCTTAAACACAAATGCCTAAATATACTAGTGCCATCATTAAATTAAAGGCATACTGTCTAATAGTGTTTTGGCGCAATTTTTTTCATGTTCTGAAAGTGGGAGAGGCTACACAGTTGTTTCCAGCTTTTGTGCACACAGATGGTTGAGTCCTTTGCCACTCAGGTTGCGAAATATTTTCACAGTACCCCAATTTATTATGCAATATAAAACATTTCCACATATAAATTGAATGATCTAAAAGACTATAAGAAAAAGAAGACTTTTGTTAAATAGAGAAAGTTTAGAAAATGCACTTGAAATTTACTCATTTTTTTAAGGAAGCAAAGACTGTTTCTATAATTTCCAAAAACAATCCTCTTCAAATATAAGGTATACTTAGATGTTTCATCAGAAAATGTAAAAACTTTAAACTTTTAGCTCTTACTAGCCAATGATATTATCTATACCATTTCTCATCTTCTTGAAGATCATGTAAAGATTATAAGAAATATATAGATAATGTTCCTTTTACTTAGTGTATGTCACTGTGAAATTTTTAAAAATCATAAAACAAAGATGTAATGGGCAATTAAAGATCTAATATGCTGACAAAGACAGACTAATTGATTGCTTAGTATTTTATTTTTATTCCTTCATATTTTAAGAGATACTGTAAAAATAGTTGTATGGCTCCTAAATTCATATTTGTAGAAATGAGAAGCTTATCAAGAAGCATCATTTTGTAGATGAAAAACTAGCTAATTATTCAGTCTTGACTAATGTGATGACTTTATATTCTTTTATGTACATTGGTGCATGGGGCATGTTTCCTTATTTTAAAAAACTTATATTCTACTCAAGTCTTGATAAAATGTCAGCTAACAGTTAACAAGGACCTACTAAAGGACTTAGATGTATGAAGTCATCTAGTTCTCACAGCACTCTCAGGACATACGCATGACGATTGCCCAGTTCGGCGGCGAGGAAGCTGAGGTCCACAGAGGCTGCACACTTGGTTCAATGTCATGCGGGAGTGGTAAGTGGGGTTGGGATTTGAACCCAGATGTCTTAGCCACTACAGCATAAGCTACTTCACACTGTGAGAAAGTATCTAATAGGACTGTCCTTTCTGGAGGAGCTTTTGACTATAACCCATAGTGAGAAGTACATTTTACATTGTGCTTCATCATACACACACTCTCCACTTATGTTACAGACTGAGCAGAAGTTCCCTACAGTGGGTGAAACACTCTGATATATTCACTCTGTTTGATGAAAAATTCTAGCTGTACCCCCAAATTGTTTGCATTAGTTTCACAGTTCATTGACTTACAGTTTGGAAAATCACTATAATAAGGGACAAGATATAATAAAACTAAATTGGGCTAATAATTATTTAAGATACCATTTATTAATCTATTATGTGCCCAACTGCTGTCATTGATATTTAAGTATATCATGAATATTCTCAGTAACTCAGAGAAGTAACTCAGTCTTATCTTACAGGAGAAACTGGGATGTGGGGAGGTTGAGTGATTTGTCCTACACAGATTTAGCTGCTCCAAGGTTCTTTCTGCTAATCTACTTTAATAGTATTCAAGTATTATTAAACAATTAAGTCAGTACTGGAAAGGTATTTATGATTTTCTTTTGAATTGGTTTACAGGTAAATGGAAAACATGTCATCTTACTAATAGGAAACAGGTCTGTTGAATTTTAGAAATGGAATCAGTTAGTTTCTTAAAGTGAAATTCAGCATCCTAGAATACACCAGGAGAAATATTATTGAATAGAAAAATAAATTCCCTTGTAGAAGAAAGTTCAGTATACAAAGGATATGAAGAAGCAAATCTCAAAGAAATACAAATCCTTCCAGCCACCAAAAGTGTTTAATTTTACAAAGAGCCAAAGAACTGAAAGTTAAAATAACAATGAGAGAATATATATATTCACTTGCAAAGTTGGTTAAATATAGAAATAAAAATGAGGGTACAAAGAACTGGGGAATTGGGAAATACCATCTATTTACAGAGGCCAACATAACAGAACATATCAAAAACTGTGGAAGTACTCTGTTTTTCTAGAAATTTGCAATAAAGAATTATTCTAAGGTGTACAAACAATATAATATAAAGATGTATATAGTAACTTATTTATAATATTAGAAGACCAGGAACTATCTAACAGACTTCTTAAGTTGTGATAATCCCTAAACTGATGTTATTAAAATTAACTTAAAGGTAAATATTCATAAACCTGGAAATACATTAGAGTGTTAGATGAAAAGGCAAATTATGAAATATTATATAAGGTATATAGGTATGTCTAATTTATCTAAATAAGGAACTTTTGTATATATAAGAGGTTGGAAAGATACATTTTAAAATGTTAACCTTAGGGTAAAATGTTCACTTTTTTTTTCATATGTTTACATTGTCAATATATTATAAGCCTGAATTATTTTAAATCACACAAAGAAAAAACCATTTAAAACTGCTTTGCTCTTGAGAAAACTAGATCTTGCAGAAAGAGTTTAGTTTCCTAATGCCATGTTTTCAAAAGAAATACTTCAAAATGCAAAAATCTAAATTTCAGAAAAGGCTGATTTAACTATTTAGCAAACATAATATGCAAAATGGTCACTGGTTAAAATACAATGTAGAAAAATATTAAGGTATCATAAAGGTTAATACTTTTGTGGTACAGAATGAGGGAAATCAGGATTTTTTGGTTGCCATGACAACATCTCTCTGTCCCTTATATTTATTCTTCTTAGTAGGACTTTAATTATGTCTGTCTCTAGGTCTACAAATTGATAGAGATTTCTCAGATTATATAGTGAGATACGCTTCCATACTGCATGAACATAATGATTTCTGGAGAAAGCACTATTTCCATCCCTAT